CAGGTAGCAGTTAACAAGCAGTCACTCACCGACACTGGATAGATGGGTCGGCAGCCGACCAACCAGTAGGGATATCAGCACGTGAGCCACCGACCGCGATCTTGTAGACGTCGCGACGATGTTGCCGTTACCTTGGCAACCGCCGCCCGTACTGCTGAACTGGGACAGCGACGCCAACGTCGCTAGACGATGAGAGCGACAAAGGAGCAGAAGAGGACAACGATAATACGACCTCAAAACTAACTGAACACATGTTAAAACCACAAAAAATTAAGGCATCATTGATTTGGCTCGTGTTCAGCGAAGTGTCGTTAACGTTTGTGTGTATAACGTGCGCAACAGTGGTAAATTAGCCGATGTAGAGTTATTACTATAGATGCATGCGCTTTAACAAATTTTTGGATTAAAATGTGAGAGTGAGTTGCTTTAGAGTCGACGGAGTCCTCTGTTATCTGTCAGTTATGAACCGCATATTTCTTATATGTATTATTTAAAACAGGCTTTTCTTGTCAGGCCAAACCCCGAGCAACTATCGGAACTGTTACAACTGTCCTAAATGGTCGAAACCAAAACCAGTTTCATAAATGGCTTTGGGTATTCAGGGCATAGGCAATTACAGGTCTCGTCATAGACAATTCTATCCGATCAACGGCACAACTACAATCGGCGCATTGCTAATTAGTATTGGGGTGGACGAAACCATGCGCGGCTTGGTGAAAGCCTTTCCGAGCGCGAAGGACGGAACCTCGGGTTTGACGGAAATAAACCAAAAAAGCAGGACGAGAAGATAGTGCGTCGGATAGCCTGATAACTGTGGCTGGAGAATGAAATAGTCCCTTACTTTATGGGGTACTTTATGGGGTTGCACTGGTATGTTAAAGCTTCGAGTTAGAGATCGATACGGCACAGGGATTTAAAGCCAAGCCTGCGCACAACTTTCCAAGCTATAACTCAGATTGTACGCATAGGCTTTCGACCTCATTAAGACACGGAAACAGATATTCGATAACTTCGGGCAGGCAAAGCGAGCGCTACTCGACTTTGTGGGACCAAAGACTTCAAAGCGTTTTTAACAAACGTAAAAAGAACTGTTGAGTCTGTCGCTTTTGCAAGTTGATGGGCATAGTGCACGGATTAAGCCGTTTGTGGGACCACACTTCGAGACGCCTGTTTGGAAAGGAGCTACATGCCAAAAAGACCTGGCACGACTTTGGATGTTTTAGAGTGAGTATCGAAGATGTACTACCCGCACCTCAGAGCACGGCACTTCTGACTTCCATATACCGCGTCCACGCCAACTAGGATTCCATGTCGACGTTGCGTCAGCACCGTCCGACCATGAAATGAACATCGTTTAACCGCAGGTCGGGAACATCTCGAGGTAAAGACGACATCGTACTGACGACGTGAAAACATCATATTGACTCGCTTGTTCATGCTTATAAGTGTGTTGAAGGACGCTTACAGACCCGATCGCTTCATGCTTATGAGGAGTTGGTTTTGACTCTCCACAGGGGTGGCTTCCGCGCCAAACAGGACCGTTGTCATCTTTAAGCCTTCAAAGAGCTTATTCGGGCGTTTCATGTGGGCGCTTCGGTTATTTGCTAACCAAAAGCACTACATTACATTGGAGAGGAATCAAACTTAAAATTTACGTGCTTCAGCAATCCCCGCATTCACTCTCGGCCTACATCCTACTACCAAAGTAGGCCCGTAAAAGCCGCAATCTACTATTACGATGAGGTGAGCGTAAAAACTATTGGGCAGAATTTCCCGGAATAGCAGCGTGCGAAGGTGGTTCCAAGCGGTAACGTCCTGAAGGTCGGCATCCATCCCAAGAAAGTATTGTTGACCATTTAGGTAGGAGGTCTATTTCCCAGGAAGGTCCTGTTAAACTACGTCGTGCCCAATAATAGTTCGGGCTGTTCAATTGACTTAGCCCGAAGTACCAGCCGAAATAAGTCTTCGCTCCCGAATTGAGACAGCGGTACAGAATAAAGGCATTCAGTGAAACGGGGTAATTTAAGACAACTATCTGGATAAATGATCTTGAGTATTTAGAAGATAACGCGAAGTTCAAAAGAGTTTATCGTGCGCTACCAACGACGAAACTACAATCGAAAGTACAATTCTTCTTACACCTAATAGAACAACTCGTGTTTTCGGTGTGATAACCAACTCTGTCAAATTGCCAACTAACGCTTAAGTCAATTTCAATTCTCGGCATCATTTTAGATACTTTTAATAAAGATGGCAGTATAACATTTTTGTAAATCGATTAAAACAGCAATGTATAGGTAAAAATCTGACACCATACTTACTGCCACTACGTTTATTATATGATCAAATGCACTTCGAAGGGGGGCAATGGTTTACGGGGGTCGCTTGATGGCAGCAAATGCTAAATCGATTCCTTTGTCGATAACAAACTTCATATTCAAGTGGCAAAACTATGGTCATTAACCCAGGTTTTCCGACATGGTTTTCAGGTATCTTGTAACAAATGAAAGGGTTGACACTTTACAGCTACCGCAATAGCCTTGTGCGGTTTTTTTCATCTCAACGTTCTCCTTACAATGTAAGCATATTATAATTATGTTGTTGCTCTCCGTGGTTACTACTCAGACGGAAATCCTGTCCACGTTTTTAGTCTGCTGAACTGTCATGGCTACCGTAAGGTAAATCATCTCGATTCCAGTGAGATTCGATAGCAGATCTTCAGCGGTGACGGAAGGCTGCACGAAGCCGTCCACATGGTACACTGCTATAAGTTATACGTTCGCCGTTAACGGTAAACAGTGATTCCTTCCGGCATACGCAGACGAAGCTTATTGCCTAAATCGACTGTGTATTGCTGAGTGCGTCATTTTGTCATGCCCAGTGCAATAATTGACATGTCTAGTTCTTTGGACGTTTCAAATCATTGCCTGTATCCTGCATCGATCAACTTTAAGCCCCATAGAAAATGAGCGTGAGTCCATATGCGAGTATTGTAACTGCATTACTTAAGAACTATTGCTTGTGAAGGTAGTGTTATTTTTAGGGGTTTCTTTGAAGGGATCTTTACTACGTTTCCCCTAGGAATCGTTTAGATTTATAGTAAAAGGTGAATATATATATATATATATATCATTTAGATGTAACGGCGAAGTGATCGTTTCAGAGAAAAAAATAGACATATGTATACATCCTAGCTACTGAAGCGGATCCGACCTATTTACCCGTTCAGCTCCATACAAAAGATTAAAGGTATGATCCACACCAGTTGTCCTTTTCCGAAAAGCTGCCAAGGCTGATTAAAAGTCGCCACCAGGTTCTTGCTCTAATGTAAATTTATGCAGACATTGATTAACAATACCGGCCGATCCTCATCATTTACCTCAGCAATAAGTGACTGGATTAGCGATAACAAGATTAAAGCCGCGTTGGATTCGACCCGGGCCTTCTCTCCAAGTAAGCCTATGTGATTATGGCTGTTTCCAACCATTAAAGAAGGCAATTAACGTGATGTATTATATCCTACAGCTGACAATGAATCTGGCAGAGAAATGAAGAAAGCTGTATTGAACGAGTACCGTCGTTGCTTGTATGGGCCTGAGATTAAAGAATAGAAAACGCAGTAGGGATTTTTCAGGGTTTTCGATAAGAAATTGTAACAACATGCGTAGCGCAAAACCCCGCCCGCATGCTGCCAGTAAGATAAGGTGCCAAAGGACGATAGAAGCTGATGCGTTAGTTTTCGTTCCGAAGTTTGTTGTAAACAGGAGCTTTTTTTTTTATCGAACTTGCCCTTAACCTCGTTGGATCCAGTTATTTCCACCTGCTAATACGCTTCAGGTATTTCGATCGCGTAACTTGCGTTTAGTCCTGTTGTCAATCGCTACGAAAACTGAGCTCACGTTGATAATCATTCATTTATATGTCAGACAATTTACAAGCGTACAATATCAGAGCAGTTAAACAATACCCTCCGGAACTCGGTTCGGAGCAGCTGCCGCATTAGTCATCGCGATGATACGACCTGTCGGATCTTTCTCACTTGTTCATTGTACAGTAGAATACAGCCGTACAGGTTTGAATAACAAGTTTGATGTAATTGATGACGCAAATTTACTACAGCGTAATCGATATATATATATATATATATATATATACTCATTGCTGGTCATAACTAACTTTCGGTAAACCCCCGTATCTAATATAATCGGCTTCTTCTGGTAGGCCAACTGGTCGCATTTGCATCCTAGAATTATATAGAAATTGGTGCGAAGAAATTCGGGAAGAGGTCGCTTCATCAGAAATCTGGACGAAGAACATTCGCGCGCATGTGGAAACAAAATACGCAGTCGTTTAGGAAGTAGTTAATTCGTAAACTCTAAGTTAGATCAATTTAAGAGATGCTCTAATTAGCGAAGTTAAAGATAGTCAATAAGAACTACGAGAACACGAGATTAGATAACATATGACTCGTTCAGGTTTTCCTTCGTATGGACCGCGCAGCAATAAGGTTCGTTCCAAAAAAAGCCCACTTAGCCTGGAGGAGCTTTGCAGTACGACTATACAGTGTTATCTTCCCAAGAATCGCATTAGGATATAATATCCGTGCATTGTTTCGAAAAGTGTATACAGACCCACAAATAACTTAATAGAATAGAAAACCTACGTACGCTGCCATAGCTTAACATTTCAACTTCCCTGAATCAAAGTAGAATGATCTAACGGTTCGCGCAGAATCAGATTTTGGCTCAGATCTATTCATCGTTGGACATTCGCGATGTCGATACGATTAATTGAATCCTATCACTGCTAAGTCAAGGAAGGTTCTTCGAGCGAGATCACAAACTGAAATACCACTGAATCAAACGGTTAAAGCAAAGGCTACTTTCCAGTTTACAGATGGTACGACATCATCCACTCTAGAAATTAACGTCGAGGGAGCAGCCGAGGAAGAACTTTTCGGAGAAAATTTCGCTTTTATTATATTGTACATTTGCCTTTTTGAAAGTTCTACAAAGAAAAAAAGCTAAGACACACTGAATTATTGCTCTAGCAGTATTGTATCCCAGAAGCTGATTGAAGATGCACGTAAACAGGATTAGTCCTGATGTTTTCTATAGGTTACGTCAATATGACTGCTCATTTATGTTCATGCTGAAAAGAATTTATTTAAGCTTCGGTAATTTTTAACAGTATTATCGAATACGGGGTTAGGCGAAAGTGTTTCTTAAGACTGCTACCTTTCCGTAGACATCAGAGCGCTATAAGATATCGACTTTTATGAAATACTTTGAAGTAAGCTACGTTGTCACGGCGTTTGCTTCTCGTTGTTTTCGTTTCTATTGACACTGAAGTTCTGCAGGGAATGCACGCCCTCCGACATTTTGCTTACAAAGTCCTCCTAATCTGCCGTCCTCATCGACTCCGAACATGAAAATACTAAACGATAGCTATGCCGAAAAGTATCTAGAGAGTTGCTCAGCAGAGCTGGAAAATTAGGCCATCGCCGGAAATTGTCTTCTGAACAAGTCCGTCACAAAGGCTTTTCCGCCAGCCTAACCTTTGCATGGAAATACCAATCCAACAAACCTGACGCAGGTGAATTTCCCCTTACATGAAAGTGCGTTAAAACAGCACTATCTCAAACAGTTAGTGTTCAAATAGTATGAGATTACTGTTGTTCTATAATGCGAAACGGAACCTCATGTGGAACCACCGTGTTGAATGCTGCCTAGAAACATATAGGTGTTAGTGGGATATAAACGTACGCATTTATAATGGATAGCATCAAGCGCCATTTTGAAAAGAAGCTACAATAGGCTGCAGTGTTGTTAAGTGCGCTATTTAATGAGTTGAGCTATGTCAGCTGGAGGCTGTGTAGGCAAAGCCTGATTAAGTTATGAACATACGCATGGTGCCCCACAATTTCATGATGGGCCATTTAGCTCTCAACATTGCAGTGTTGACACAATATGTACGGCAGTACGACAAAACCCGTTCTAATGCTGTTATATAATATAAAAACATCTGTTGAAAAACAATTTCCAAGGCAAACTTTGCTGGGCCGAATAACTTAAATTTTGGCATCAACGTTTGGCGATGTACAATTCCAATGCGCAACAACAATGTACCGATAGTCGCTCTACAACGGTGTCGTTGTCTGTTATCAGGGTTCAAGCGAAACGGCCGTCAAATCGGCATATCATATTTGGGCTTATATTTGAACTGACGCACACTTCTCATTATACTGACTGCAAAGAGATGAACTTCTAAGATTCGATAGCAGCATATATTGTGGCAAGTTAAGGACACTTTCAGTACATCACTATACAATCAATCTTTACTAAATTTCAATTCAAAGACTTGATGAAATTTGTTATAAAATCATCTGTAGAATCCTTTTCGGTCGCGAAATGGAATAGGATGATTCTCTTACAGTCCTCTTACATCCATAGGGTTACAGCTATTTTCTAGATGAGGTAAATTAATATTTTTGTAGTGCGTGGCTTACATCTCAATTGACCGTTCGATCGAAGGACACGAAGCGCCGGCATTTATGACCGACATGTTCTAGTGGGAAGAAATCGAGCGGCCTGGGTTCTCGAATCCTCGGTAGCGTAAATCGGTCGTCAACCAGGGGATTAGTAAGAAGAGTAAACACTTGTACAGCGACAAGGCCGAACAACCATTCTGTCCCGACATACGTGCCCCCTGGTCTTTTGTGTTCATTATACCTTGTTGACTGATTTCTGTTTATGCGGGTTGGTCATCTCTCAGGCATCGTCACCGTGAAATCTAAAAGGCGCGATTCAGATTCTTGTCGCCAACACTTGTTCTTTTCTCGACGCATATATAGGATCGACAAAAAAATTAACTGGACATCATAATGTATTTCAAATCCAAATAGAAATTGAACTTACAGAAGGCGGGCCAGCTGAGTCCGAGTAATTTCTTATCACACAAAGTCAGTTATCAGTTATTGGTATTGTTGGCAACGCCAGTCAATGAAGGTTAGCCTAAAACATGCCATACACGTACATACACAACATCGGTAATCATTCAAACGTGCAACAAGGTTAAGTGTTTTGTTTATGAAGTCGTCTCGATCGTTAGCGCTCTTTCGTCCTTTCTTTATATTCCATTCCTCATGTCAATCCAAAGGCTTGGAACTCATCCAGATGGTTTCGTACTTCTGTTTCAGACGAGTCCGTCATATCGCATCCACTTATTGGCTAGAATATAATAATAACATTTGTATTAGTTACTGTTGATTTCAATTATTTCAGCTGCGCTGATCATGCAATTGTCATTTCATAATACGCGAGTTACATATATATAGAGAGAGAAAGATAACGTATCTGTCTGTAACAGTAGCAGCAGAAATATCTTTCCTTTGCCTTGACAACTCCCCTAGATGAAAAGCAGTAGGGTTCTGGGTGGGGGTACTGAAGATGGTTTATCTCTTCATTGACGTCCATTAGCACATTAGCTGATGAGTTTGGTTTTAATATCATAGATGGCGCTAGAGTCGAGTTCACGTCGCTTTTTTAAAGCTATGCTACAGCAGTCAGCTTCAGGCCCGTGGCCCATGCCCCTCATGCACCGTGACACGAACCGTGAATTCTAGCATTACACAATATAGATTGTCCGGGCTTTCCCTTTATGCGGACGAGCCGCATAAAGGGAAAGCCCGAGCAGTTTTTTGGAACGTGACTAGGCCAACATCCCAACGTGTACCACGGCGCTGAACGCTTTAATAACGGGGCACAAAGCCGGAGACTTTGCGAGTTTCTGCTCGACCTCAGGGGGCATTAGTCAGCTGCCGCTCACTCTTTTCGTATCGTACGGAATAGGACAGGCTAGAGCTCAACCAGCACAAAAACACCACCACCATGGCCACCAGCAACAGAACCGCCTAACCCGTCTCCCCTCATCCTTCATCTCCCCACAGTTGTGACGACACCGAGCTTTACTAGTCAGCGTTGTGGCTCAAAGGCCGTTACGCACCTTGAGCCTACCAAAAGGTCTAAATAAAATTTGCTCCCCACTGAGCGGCACTTCATAGATGGCGTGTCGATAGTGAACTGTGTTCGACTGACGTGAAGGTTTACCGTGACCAGGCATTCACCACCGTATTACCTGGCGGCCGATAAACCACAGCTAATGCTATATAAAGGCAGGAGCTGTCTAAATCTATGCTACCTATCTGTAGCTGAGAGCCTGAAGCCTGCCTAGTGAAAGCACGCGGCACGGATTCCTACGGGACGTGCCAGCTATCTGTGCTCTACTGTAAAGGACAACGACGACCACCATTTCTACCCGGGGAACAGTACCTACTCTGTTGATGAGAAGGTCGAGTCGAATGATAGCAAATTTGTGTACCCTGAATTTTATTTTCAACACCACTGGAGCTAGGATCGTCAATACGATGTGATAATTATTTAATAACCGGGAATTTCGCCATTAGAAACAAGTAATCATTGGTCTTTGAACACCGTTAACTAGACAGTAAGCATTTTCTAGCCTGGCTTTTATGCTATATTAAACTAATACGATAACCGGCACGTATAAAATGTCGTTCCAGAACGTATTTATCTAGAAACCTATCTGTTACCTATCATTGCCGATGTCGAGCCGCACGCCAGTCGACGTACATAGCTACGCAACAATCGTCCAATTATGCACGTTTGTCTCTGGCAAACCAAACACATGTTAGAAAAGCATCAAAAATCAACTACACTAGGACTACATAGCTGTACAATTTCATAGTTTTTCGAGTATTTCTATGCATTTGTCTAGCAGTAGGCGCTAGGCAAAGGAGTGGCGTCGCGCGCCTTAATAGTTCCTGCACGGCTATTAGCACAGTGTAACCTGTAAATTGCTTGGCTAATTCGGGGTCATAATACGTTGTTCTCAAAACAAGAAAACACTTGCTTAGCTTCGTCGTCACATTTTTACATCAAATTGTTGAAACAGCTCCGATCTGTCCTGCAATCCCACACGTACTGAACAACACGTCCACCCTCTGTGACTACAACGATCTGGTAAAGCGCTTCATGTAATCTAATCTCTTTTAATAAATAATAAAAAATAAATCTAATAAAAACTAGTTATAAAAAAAAACCATATGTACCGCACTATCAGCAGATTCGGCATTACCGGCTCCAGTGTACGTAAATGACCACTAAAGGTCTGCCAGTGATTCCCTCACCGATGGCGCAGCGGCATTTATTAGAGTTTACTAAAGAGATACGATCTCAGTTTTGCTTTGTCGGCTTCATCTCCACGCGAGCCTCCGCTGTTAAATCCAAACAATTGTCTACCAGCAAAGATCTGGCGCGTGACTCTGCACAAAATTCTACTACAAGGGATCCAATTGTACACGAATCGGTCCATGAGCTCTCCTTTTCTCTGTCTCTCCTCTCAGTTTTCCTACTTCACTTGCATAAAAGTCAAATTCAAGTCTATAAGCCATATTATTACTATCGCAACAAGTACTTTGCTAATTGGAAATTAAACGCCAGTTTTCAATCAACTTTTTTTGCTCCTTTGTTTTGCTTATAGAGTAAAGTATAATCAGTTGTCATGTTTCGTATCAATCCATCACTAAATAAAACCAAACGAGTACTGGTTCGTCATCGGCCTGTACGTGTTGCGCACCATGACGTCGTTCCCATTTTCCGTTCGAAAAAGATATGACCCAACTCAATTGTGTGAGCTGTATCTGTGATCGTAATTAAAATGCAAAAATTATCTGATGGAAACAAAGATTTTCTATTATTACTCGTATGCTCAAACGTTTTGAACAGACGTTACTTTAGCCCTCCAGATCTCTCGCCCCCCAGATTCCCCAGCCGCGGTTTAATCCCCCTTCGCAAAGTGAGCGGGCGGCCGAATTTCTACTTAACCTACAATGCCCTTGTCTATCACAGACAAGGGCATTGTCGATTCTTGTCGGGCAAGTCTATACAGAAACGTAAATGTCGATTTAGATGCAAGACTACACTTATGAGAAGACAACAAGCCCGGCAAGAGAACTACAAGGTTTCGACGGTTCATCGTGCACGACTCAAGCCAACGTCGCAGCGACAAGAAAGCATAGGAGTTTGAGTGTGAGTGCGGGAACTTGTATATCCACTGAAGTGCGTACAAACGTTGGTCGCCGGTTGCCATACACTGCAAGACGAAATCATCTGTTGCCGGCGCCGTTACGTATTTTACCCATGTTCCACCGAAGCACAACGTGTAAACGCAACAAATACAATTGCGGCATGCGATAAAGAGTCGAGGCTAGCTCAAGTGCCGCCGATTAAATCAGACCCAAAGCTGATACACACGAAAGATAGAGAACCAGGTAGAGATCTGTCTTCGCTTCATGCCTCTCCTGACTATCTCGCTCACCTAAGCACACAAGAGCGCACCCTTTCGCCACCGTGGCTGCCATCATATAAGCGTTCCCTCTCTACAGGGTCGTAAGCACTGCAGCAAATATAATGTATGCTAATAGTTTATGGGTTAAATGAGATATATCTTTCTTCCGAGTGTAAGCACCCATACACCCACGCACGCACTCACTCACCCACTCACTCGCTTCACGCTACGCCAACAAGCCCAAGCCGGAAAAGGAGCACAACAGGTAAACAACACTATTACAACTGCTATGAAATGATCGCCACCCTCGACAGGCAGACACAGGCGTAGGTTTTTTGCCCAGTATTCTCCTCTTGGACTTGCCGGTCTGCGGTTCCTTAGCTGTGTGGCCGAGCGTACGACTGATTACACTCGACGAGTTCCACTCCTAAATTTGCGAATCGGCTTGCTGCCATCAGTTGTTGAAGTCACTGTCCCCCCCCCCCCCATTCGGACGACGGCAGCAGCGATCGAATCTAAATAACTCTTTCCCATCGAGAAGAGCGGCGGCGCTGGTCGCTGCGCGCAAACGAGCACAGAACTATCAAGTTTCTCGTCGTTTGGGGAATAGGAGGATAGGCGAGCGAAACTCAACGCGAAGAGGTGTGTAGGAAATAGGCAGCGGCCATCAATCGGTCTGCCGCTATCCTCATGAACTGAGTGATTGATGACCTGTATTGCTCCGTTATCAATATTAACATCAATTCTATTATGATCGAATATTATGTCGTGGCGCTTGCCCTGTGTGAATGTGCTTGCATCTATATATACGTATATATCGAAACGTACGTCTGTATGTTTATCAGAATCCTTGCAATTATTCATTTTTAACGAAAGAACGTGATCGTGAGAAGGATTTCCTGAATTCAAGCACTTGTGCGTAAACTTGGGTAAACGGTTGGGTGTAGTGGTGTGCTGAGCTTTCTAGTTTGGTCACGATACCATGATAAGGTTTAGTTAGAAAGGAGATGATAGTGACAAAATAAATCTTAGGTATATTTGAATAGAATAATATGTTTGAGATATTGTGAAAAGAAAGAAGTAAATTGATTAAGATAGGTTTCTGTTGCCTGTGGCTATTGTAATATTGCCCTTGACGACAAGGCGTCACACTTGCAGTATGCCCCCAATGTTGAGCTTCAGAAGTCGTATAGGTATTAGAACTAAATGTTTCGAGGTTTACGTCGAACACTAACGTTTGGCATTGCACTTTCCAGCACGGATCAAAGCGAATCCAGTCCAGTGTTCAAACTTGGACCGCTGAACATCCTTGAGATTCGCCGGAAAACATCTAGCCCATCCGGACATACACGCATCCACGTGTTTTAGCGCCCAACACAAGCTGCAATTCCCCATACCGTTGCGTAATTTCTTAAACAAATTCAATAAACTAAGCAGTGAACCCCGTACGATCGAGTTTTCATTGGCTAGCTCATCGCAAACATTTATAGACATTTCTCTCATTCGAAAGTGCACCCGAGTCACAATATCAACAGCAATTGAAGCACTTCGATAGCTACTTAAAGCCGAATTCTCTATAGAGTACAACAGCTGTAAAGTGTTACACCTCTGAACAAAAACAGGTAGGCAAATTAAATTTCGGAAATAGTCTCAAACCCTTTTGCTCATTTACGTTGATGAAATGTAGAAAGCACAATAATTCAATACGACCTACTGATACATCCGCAGTACATTATATACATATTAAAGATGCCTGGCTTAGCTTGGCAATCCCCTGGCAGAAGCAAGTGCTCTACAACCGCTTCCTCCACATGGTCCTAGCCCGGCCTATTCTTAAAGAAATAAAATCAGTTATTATTCA